CAACCAACAAACAAATCAACTCAAACCAATCCAAGTTCACAACAAATGAAGACAAAATATAATTCTTTCACTTATTAAATATACGTATACGTTAAAACAACAATTAAAATCTAATTAAGCAGAAATTTTTCAAATTATCAGCGTTAACTACTTGAAAATTTACCTCAATTCATTTGATTTAGGTGCTTTCGCCAATGTTTCTTCGATTTCATGCAACTTCGATGTAAGGTGTTCCAAAGACTCCTAAAATGTTGTAAAACATATGTTGTCTGGTAGAAATAGATTTAAATGAAAATTAAATAAACAAGCTGTTTTATTATTATATGCTAAAAGCAAAACAAGAAGTGAAATAAATGTAATAGTAAAAAAAAGAAGATATAAATAGCATTTTAAACAAATTCATTCACCTTTTGAACAGTTCCTAGCAGTAAGGCATCTTCGAGAGACTTTTGCAATTCAGCAATCTTTCGGTCTTTTTCTTCCATGGAATGAATTAACTCATCGATTCTTAAATAAAAATAAAAGTGTCCAGTTTCAATTTTAGTTAATTGAACAGAAATCATTGATGCTTAACTTCTTTCTATGCACAAAAAATCTTGTATTGAAATACAAGTGATAATTCTCAAATCAATTAGCATTGAAGAATTTTACAAGTGATATGAAATTTTAGCAATCATTTTTACAAATGAAAATTTTGAACAGTGATAGTAAAAGGAATTGGAAAAATTTTTTCGACACTAAAATTAAGATTGATACCTATCATTAGCATTTTGAAGCCACTGTCGATGTTCTCCAAGACTCCACTCAGCGTCATTTTTTGCTTTCTCAACATTTTCAATGCATAAGTTTTTGTCGGTAAGTTCACTATTTAAAGCATCGATTGTTACAAGATTGCTGCTGAAATTTCAAATTATTAGGAAAATTCTTAAGTTTATTCAGAATACTTAAATTTAATTAGAAAATATCTTATTTAAATCAAAATTTTTTATTTGAATCATCAAATAAACCTTTTAAATTTAACAGACTTATTTCGTTATTCAATACCAAATTTTACTTAAAAAATTCCTTGAGTAAAACTCAATTTTAAAAAATCACGTGAGAAATATAAAATTTTATTGTGAAACATGCGAGAACTTAAAAGATATCATTATCATTAATTGCTTTTGTTATCTACCTAATATCAGCATTTCGATTCCCAATTTCTTGCCTCAATTGCTCGACATAATCGTTTCTTTTACATAACTCTTTCTCCAGATCTTGTATCCTGAATTGCACATGTTTAATTTTAAATGGGAATTCGCAAGAAGGAATCACTTGTATCAACCTAAGAAAATAATTGAAATACGTAAAAAATTCGAAAAATTTAAATTAAAATATAAATAAATGGAATACAAACAATGAAAGACGGAAAAGTTAATAGGAGGAATATTAATAAATATTAATGCGCATTAATAAAATGAACAATGAGAATTGAAAAATTACATTTTTAAATTGTCTTAAGTAAACTTGTATATCAAAAAATTTTACAATTAGTAATTTATGCACCTTATCAGTTAGCTTCTTATCATAATTACTAATTATTCATCAAATATTATCACTTTTTTGCTGGAAATATATATCAGTGATAATGAAATCAATGCGTGAATGATTATTCTACAACGTTTCCGACCAATTCCGTTTATCGTTAAATAGCACATGAGATTAATCGATGAAATTGATATTTATAAGATATGCAGAATGGAATAGAAATTGCATACAAGTGAATTAAATGGAATTAAATTAATTGAAATGTAATAAAATTCAAGTAAAAGTATAAAAATAAGAAATATTACCTAATATTAGAATCATGAAGCCATTGGCGGTGTTCGCCCAAATTCCATTCCGCATCATTACATTGTTTTGTTAAAGTTTTGATATATTCATTTTTGCCGTTTAGTTCGTTTTGCAAGCAATCAACCACAGAGCTAAGCTCACTTAAAGCAAACCAAAAGGCCATTAATTTCTTTAACTTTTTAATTGTATTATCAATTGGAAATTATATTAGAAATCATTGTAGAAGAAATCCTTTTACATATAGCCTTTTACATATTTTCAAAAGTTTGCAAAACTCACATTCTAAATAAAAGAGAAAAAAATGACGAAAGATGTTATTGAAAATGGAAATGTTGAAATAATTTACTTCAATTTATTTCGGTTTGGAGCTTCACTGAGCGCTTTCTCGGAAGATAGAAGTTTTTTGTGCAAAGCTGCTTGTTCGTCCTTTAGAAAGATGAATAATTAAAATATTCGCTGAGTAATTATGAGTTTTTAATGAATTTAAAATATCTTAGCCCAGTTATTTTGATAAAAATTGAGATTTCAAAATTTAAACTGCTTAAAATGGCTATATTTCAAGCTCGAATATTAAAAAAGATTGCAATAAAAACAAAGCATTCCTCATTGCATTTCTTCAACTCTTCAATAGAATTGTCTTTTTCAATCAAAACAGATTCCAACTCGCTGATCCTGAAAAAATCTATCTAATTTTTTAAAAAGCAATCGGAAATTTTTTTTGTTTATTCAAATGATTATTTCAATTCCATTATTCCCTTTTAGGAATGATTTTTTGATTTAATTCAGTTTTATTATTTTTGAATACTTGTTTGAATTTTTAATTATTGAAAAGGGTTAAATTAATCATCTGGTTAAATTAATGACAAAATAAATGAAAAAAAGATTTGGAGACTATTTTGCGTACTTACATATCACAAGCGTCAAAACTTTAAGCCGTTTCATGGGGACACTAAATAAACTTCTCAAATATTAAATCAGAAAAACTCAAAAAAAGTATTTTCTCAATATTCAAATGCTAAAATTACTAATTATCCTATATGCTTTAATTCTAAAAAATTTATATTAATTCAAGAACTTGATGATAATTCAATTCTCACTGACCGGAAAGATACTTCAAATTTTATAATTGCTATCTTTTCTGATAATAATTGATAATGAACCTATTATTAGCATCTTCTAACAATTGCTGTTTATCATTAAAATTCCATTCAGCATCATTTTTCTGTTTTGTAATACAGTTAATTTGTTCGTTTTTGTTATTAATCTCTTTCTGTAAGCCTTCTATAGCTTCCATCGATGCTCTGAATTATAAATCTTTTATTGCCTCATTAAAAAAATTGCAAAAAATTGGAAAATAAAACAAGATTTTCTGAAAAATTGTGGAATGCTTCAAATACTTTGAAAATTTTCCATTGTTTTTTATAAAACAATTTGATGACGGAATGTTTTAGAATTGACTAAATTAAAATCTTTCTAACTTTTGTTAAATTTCAAAGAAACATCAAGCAGTTTTAGAAGTACGATAATTTTCAGAAGGCACCTAATATTTCCGGTCAATTTTTCAATTTCTTCTCTTAAGTTATTATTTTCACAACCGATTGCTTCAAGTTTATTTTCAAGTTCATCAATCCTGAAATATCAATTGATAGTATTGAGATATAAATTTGAGAATAGTAGCAAATATTTTCCCCCTCTTAAAATTTTTATTTCTTCTTTTTTCACCATCCCTACTATTTTTATAAAAATGCTTGCTTAAAACTTGTCGATTTTAAATTTTGATTCACTCATCATTTCAACCAATAAATGGTTCAACAAATGAAATTCAAAAATTGAAGAGTTAAAATTCAACTCATTTCTAATGCTACTTTCATTTATTTCATAATGAGAAAATGGAGTAAATTTCAAAAATTTCAACTTATTGTTAGCATCCGCAAGCCATTGACGATGTTCACCCAAACACCATTCTACATCATTCTTCATCTGTTCGTTAATTACGGCATTCCGTTTTGCTTCATTCACTTCACCCAGTAGTTCCTCTATTCTCAACCTGAATAAATTGAATATTAAATTTGAATACTTATTTGCGACTATCTATTTGCGTATCATAATTTCCAATTTTTTTTAAAACCATAATTTTCTCAACATTAATTGTGGATTTTCAATGCTTTGAGAATTTTTAAAAGTTTGTTTAAAATATTAAATTCAGATCGTTTACATTAATACTAAGTAACTGATTCCGAGGCATTTCATAGTGCTATTGCATTAAAATGTAAACTTAGACTGACTTAAATTCATTTTGCTTATCATTGAAATCTTTTTCCAGTTTTATTATCTGTTGATCCTTCATTGACACTTCTTTCTTCAATTCTTCCACATTGAGCTAAAAATTTATTTTTGATTTATTTTCATTTAAATTTATACTGAAGATTAAATTATTCTGACATTAAACAGAACTGTTGAAATAGTACTTCAAGTTGTTCAATTTCGTGAAGTTTCGTTACTGCTATCTTCTTCTCATTTGTAAGCCTCTGTGTAGCATTCTCCAGTTCTTTCATCCTATAAAAATATATGAATTAATTTATAGTTCTAATTTGAATATAAGTGCTAAAAATATATTCTTTAAATCGGCGCTTCGGTTTCAACCTCTGATATTTAAATGCTTTCACAATATGATTAGTTAACGAGTCAACTTGATAATTTACTTCTAATTTAATTATTTAATTATTAGTTTAATAATTTTATTCAAAGATATCAATTCCTTTCTAACTGACCTTTTCTTCAGATTTTCCGTAAGAGTCCAATCATTCTTATCTTTTGGTTCAGCGAGATCATTCAAATGACCGTTTTCCAAATCAAAAATATTCTCTGCCAAATCTTTTGCTGACCATTTAAATGTTCTGCAAAACCTAAGTGAAATTGAGAGAGTTCAAAAGTAATAAACAGTTTCATACTTTTGAATTTAACCATTTTCCAATTTTAGGAGTAAAAAATTCATAGGCCATGTTGACAAATAATTTTGGAAATTTAAAATCAATTTTGCATTTATTTAAATCATTTAGCTAAATTATTAAGTATTGAACAGAATTATTAGGATTAATTGGACTCGAATTATCAAATAAAAGCAAAATTTTAATAAAAGTTTTCGAAATTTCGAAATGTAATTATAAAAATCCTTCCGTTGTAGTGTGAGTTCAATTACTGTTGTAATATTTCTTTTGCTCAAAATTCACCAAACTTGAAATTATCAAAAATTTTTCAGTAATTTTAGTAATTGCAATATCTCTGTCACTGAAGTACGAAATAACAAATTTGCTTTTTATCTAAAAAAAATTATCATTATTTGCTTTACATCCTTAATTAAGCTTAATTAATAAGACTATGAATTCTGACGAAGAATATATTGGAAAATGAGGATAAAAAGCGTTTTGTGAACAAATTAGAAAAAATTAAGTACAATGAAAATACCGTTAAATAATACACAAAATTATTCTTTCAACTAACTGCGTGCTTCTTTGTTTTAAAAATACTTAAAAAAAGTTTCCTTGAAAATAATTTTTGCTTTGTAAATTTTATTAAATTTTTGAGAGAAAATTTGTGAGAAACAAAATTTTCAAAACTAACTTATATTCAATGTCGCCATTGTTTGATCCAATTTCTATTAGTTCCTGTTGCTTTTTGTTCAAATATAATTCCAAATCGTCGACTTTTTCATGTAACTGTTAATTATAAAATAATAAATCAATTCTCGAATACACTAACAATTATATGAAACAAAAAAAAAAGATTTAATAAATCAGATAACATTTTACCCGTTGGAATGCATCATTTCGTATCTCTTTCAAATCTTCTAATTCTTTGACTATAGCAACGATCAAACGATCTTGTTCACTTTTCTCATTTTCTAGATATATTACCCTTAAAAATGAACTTTAATAATAATTTTAATTCTATTGAGGGCTTCTTCATATAATTTTACTGTTGTCGGGAAAGCCGAAATAAAATTTTATCGTTTTTCCAATTCATACGTAAATTTTTTCACCTTAAATTTTATGTGTCTTAAGCACCTAGCATACTTGCATCTTAAATATTTGGTAAATTATTCACAGTAAATTTTTATTCTAAAACAAAGTTTAGATTCAAAATGAAATTGTCATAAAATGTGAAATAGCTCTCTTATCCAATTAGCTTTGTGTCCAATAGGATCGTATCAGAATATGCTTTTGTAGTATGAAGGAATTAAAATTCGTTACAGTGCGTCTCTCGATGGAGAACCTTCGCTTTGACAGTTTAACGACTGTGTTCTCCTACACTGCGACCCAATCAAATCCTTATCAGTTCCCATTCAAACTTCGAGACAATTACTTCGGTTGTCAATAATCAAGAAGAAATCTTCGTCTAATGACACTATAACTGTCATATAATATTATCACTAATCTTTCACAATGAATAAATTTTCTAACAATCTCTGCCCGCAAA